TGGCTGTACAAATGTAAGACCATTTTTGTCTGCTGTTCAATTGCATTTTAAACTTTTATAATCATGCAAAGGTGTGTGTGGGGGGGAGGGGGATTTATCATTTAAATGGTTCAGTGAAGATGAGAAAATTAATTAGATTAAATTGTTTACTTTCAAAGTATTATGGAAATTGAAATTATGTTTTCAGAATCTATTTTACATAGTAAGCGTATATGTATTTGATTGTTCCTCACCAGTGAAACTGTAACAAGCATTTAATCCTTTAAGCTCTGTGGCTCAAATTAAAACAAATTATGTTAGTTTAATAGTTTAATAATATTATTGTTTTTTTAAGTAAATTACATGTTTAATCTCCATCTAAGCTTTATCTCCCTTTTTTAGTCTCACATACCTGATTACCTCTCACTTTACGAAAAATTTAAGGTAAGTCAGCAAACGAAAGAACTGACTGCAGAAAGATTAAGAACGACAATTTGTATTTATTTATTCCGATATCAACTTACTTGTTTGTCTTACAACTTAGTTCTAAAAGGGCAGAAACAATTTTGTTAGTATTTTTCCTTTTTGGTTTATCATTAAGATTAAGAGCACACATTTACAACATTTCATTTAAGAAAAATTAAATTTTGAGATAAGTAGAGATATTTGGTGATGGACAGAAAGGCAATGTTTTTTGTTTTTTTTTCTCTTAGAATAAAACAAAAGGGGGTGGCAGCGGAAACCTCAAACTTCTCTCATCGACTTCCTTCTTCTTCTTCTTCTATATATTAAGGGTCCACGATCAATTTATTGATCATTTTGGCTCCTATGCACGTAGAGGGGATTTGCAATGTTTCTGTGCCTGGTGTTGATGAGGATATTTCACTGATTGCAAGTGCCACTTTGTGAGGGAATCATGCACTGGGGGTTTGAAGGCTTGAGGCAATAGACACAAATGTTTCTAGTGTTGTCGCCTCAACTGTTCCTTTTGAAAGCTTGTTCCAGTCCCTGATTGTCTTGGGCAGGAATGAGCAGTTCCTATACTGGCTTCTTGCTGGTATTAGCCAGAATTGCCTGTTATGGCCTCGTCGCTGTCTATGGGGGAGAGGGACGAGTTTCTGTTTAATTCTGAAACAGTGGACCAGCCCATTATTTATCTTGTACATTATGGAGAGCATGGATTGTCGTTGTCGTTCCTCCAATGGTGACCAGCCTAGTGTTTCCAGCATGCTGCCAACACTAGAGGTATTCCTGTAGCGGTTCAGGACAAAGAGTGCCGCCCGTCGCTGGACTGCCTCCAACCTGTCAATGCTCTTCTGGGTAAATGGGTCCCAGACTGAAGATGCATAATCTAAAATCGGACGTACAAAGGCTTTATATGCTCTTTATTTCACACAGGAATTGCCAATCTTTAGATTACGCCTTAAGAACCCCAGGGTCTTCTTTGCTTGGTTACATACATTGTTAATATGCTCGTCACAGCAGCCCTCTCTTTGAATGGTAACACCCAGGTACTTTACGGAGGAAACTGGCTCAAGTATATGGCCATGCAGTTTGTATTGGTAGTGTAGAGGAGTAGAACTTCTAGAGACTGATAGCGTCTGGCACTTGGCAGGGTGAAATTCCATGTCCCAGCTCATCTCCCACTCAGCTAACAGATTGAGATCCTGTTGTAGCTAGTCCTGGTCAGATCTGTTGGTGATCGTTCTATACACCGCTGTGTCATCTGCGAACAGTCTTGCTTGTGATGTCAGTTTCTAGGGTAGGTCATTAATTTATGCTAGGAACAAACAGGGGCCTAGCACTGATCCCTGGGGGACCCCTGAATTCACATCGACAAAGGAGGAGCTTGTGCCATCCACCACTACTGCTTGGCATTGGTGGCTGAGGAAGCTAGAGATCCATGTTTTAGTGGTGCCTTGGATCCCACATCTCTGGAGTTTGTGTAGAAGTAAACTATGATTCACATGGTCAAATGTCTTTGCGAAGTCCATCACCACCATGTCAGTTTGTTTGTGGTTCTCCAGATTGATCATCAAGTCTTCTACAAATTCAAGGAGCTGGGTCTCACATGATCTATTGACTCCGAAGCCATGTTGACAGTCATTGAGTATATTTTGGCTTTCAAGGTGCTTCATGACTGTGCTTACCATTATGTGCTCCAACAGTTTGCAGACCACGCTGGTGAGGGATATCGGACGATAGTTGGCAGGGTTGGAATGCTCCCCTTTCTTGTAGATTGGAGTGACATGCGCTGTTCTCCTGTCTGCTGGAACATTTCCTGTCCACAGCGATGATGGAAGAGGATTGTCAGTGCAGGAGCGATTTCTTTGGCCAATTCTTTGAGCACTCGTGGTTTAATGTTGTCAGGACCACATACTTTGTAGGGGTTAATTGTTTTTTGGAGGGCAAGCACACCCTGCTCTGATATCTGAATATCTTCCATGACAGGGTAGGCTCTGTTCATCATTTTGGTCTTCAGAAGGAACTCGGCCTCCGAATACTCACTACCGTCACCAAAGACCCACTGGAACTGCTGATTGAGTATGTCAGCCTGTGCTTTTGGGTCAGATGTCAATAGGCCATCCCACCTCAGGGGGGAAACTCCAGGGTTTGAGGACTTTTGGTGCTTCACATAGCTCCAGAAGCGCTTGTTCTTGACACCTTTGGTCGGGGTGTCTTCCTCTGAGAAGATGCCATTCATGTAGTTCCAATAAGATCTGTGCAATAAGCATTGGATGGTTCGGCGGAGCCTCAGTACCTCCTCTCTCAGTTCAATCCAGCCATTTTTCTTCAATCGTTTGTATTGGCGGCCTCTCCTGTGGATGAGCTTACGGATTTCAGCCGTGACCCATGGCTGATTTATCTTAGGTTTGGTGGTCCTGTGAGGTATGAATTTCTTCACTGCATCAGTGATTGTTGTCTTAAACTTCACCCACAGCTCTTCTGTTGTCGCTGTACCCTGAATATATATACTTAGAAAATAGAAAGAAAAGAGATTTTTGGGGGGGGGGGGTTTTGTTTGGTTTTTTTTTTTTATGTTTTAAAATTTTGGTGATGCTGACAGTGAAATTGTTATGGCATACGGACATAAATTCTTATTAATCAAGTTGAAATGAGTGAAGCCCCGTGGAATGAAAGGTGGAAATTACTGGGACGATAAGTGGCATGGTATGTACCCTGAATATATATACTTAGAAAATAGAAAGAAAAGAGATTTTTGGGGGGGGGGGGTTTTGTTTGGTTTTTTTTTTTTATGTTTTAAAATTTTGGTGATGCTGACAGTGACATTGTTATGGCATACGGACATAAATTCTTATTAATCAAGTTGAAATGAGTGAAGCCCCGTGGAATGAAATGTGGAAATTACTGGGACGATAAGTGGCATGGTGTGAAATGACAAAAGGAAATATAAAGATATAAAAATGTATCAAGATGATGACTTTCATAATATGTAACTTTTTAAACTTGTTCAATGTTTAAACATAGTTCAGCTTGCAGTAATTAATTTCCCTATTGTTGCATTTATCTGATCATTCTGGTTTCTCTTGTTTAGGAAGAGGGATACATGATTTCCTGTGTGTCAATCAATGATCCATTTGTCATGGAAGCTTGGGGGAAAAACACAAATGCCTTTGGAAAAGTAAGGATTTTAAATCATGAAAGTTTTGTCTAGTAATCGTCTTCTCTCCCTTTTTTAAAAAAAAACTTCCTCTTTATTACCTTTCTTTTTTTTTGATACATTAGAACCTTTCTATAAGTATAAGGCACCCTGTTAAAACATGAATTCAAGGATAACGCAGTTGTTGAATGGCTCCTTAAATTTTAGATGCCAGTAATCATGCACACATTAAATTTTGTTTGCAAAGTATGTGGAAAAAAATCTGTCTTTTTAAATAAAAATCACTTATACCCCTTGACCCCTTATATATGATCTGCTATTATGGACCCAAGCATTGGCCTCGCCTTATAGTGGGGTTCCACTGTATATGTATAGCAGCTATATTAAATAAAAACACCCTACAACTGAAAGCTAAATAAATTAGATTTCTTTACCCCAACATCTTGTCTCAATAATTTCATGTAAATTATCTTCGTCTGTAGATTCGAATGTTAGCAGACCCGCGAGGAGAGTTCACCAAAGCCCTCGGCATGGAACTTGATTGTAAACAGTTGCTTGGTGGAATCAGGTCACAGAAGTAAAGACATTTTGTCAACATGCAAATATATAAATGGAGACATATATTACTGTCATATGACTTGTCTCTCCTACAGATATTCATTAAATATACAATTATAATATATTGTGACTTCAGATATTTAATACATATATTACTATACTAAAACTTGTCTCTCCTACAGATATTCACTAGTCATTGATGATGGGAAAATCCAGAGTTTTAACGTTGACCCGGAGCACACCGGGCTGGCCTGTCTGCTCTGCATTAAGAATATGAGAGCTGGAGATGTACCAGAACCTAAGAGATGATGACTCTTTATGTCTTTCTTATTTATAATGACTTGGTACAAAATGATCTGTTAGTTGATACTCTATACAACTGTTATCTCTTTGTGTTTGTATGTCAGACCATGGACAGCATCATGACAGGTTCTTTGTGTTTGTGTGTCAGACCATGGACAGCATCATGACAGGTTCTTTGTGTTTGTGTGTCAGACCATGGACAGCATCATGACAGGTTCTTTGTGTTTGTGTGTCAGACCATGGACAGCATCATGACAGGTTCTTTGTGTTTGTGTGTCAGACCATGGACAGCATCATGACAGGTTCTTTGTGTTTGTGTGTCAGACCATGGACAGCATCATGACAGGTTCTTTGTGTTTGTGTGTCAGACCATGGACAGCATCATGACAGGTTCTTTGTGTTTGTGTGTCAGACCATGGACAGCATCATGACAGGTTCTTTGTGTTTGTGTGTCAGACCATGGACAGCATCATGACAGGTTCTTTGTGTTTGTGTGTCAGACCATGAACAGCATCATGACAGGTTCTTTGTGTTTGTGTGTCAGACCGTGGACAGCATCATGACAGGTTCTTTGTGTTTGTGTGTCAGACCATGGACAGCATCATGACAGGTTCTTTGTGTTTGTGTGTCAGACCATGGACAGCATCATGACAGTTTCTTTGTGTTTGTGTGTCAGACCATGGACAGCATCATGACAGGTTCTTTGTGTTTGTGTGTCAGACCATGGACATCTTCAGGACAGTTCCGAGCTACACAAAAACTTGTTCATTTTCGGCTGCTAAATGTCTATTCTACTTAATTATAAATTATACCTACTGTATATACTTGTCCATAAGTTGAGGGTATTTTTTTTAACAATGCTATGATTTGTGGATAAGTCGAGGGTAAAACTTGGGACTATATTGTCCAAATATTCCTAGAACTGTGGCCGAAGTATGATTGGCTCCAGACTTATCACACCATATGTTTATATCTTAATCTCCATCTGTGTGTGTATTCAGTATTTGGGTCAACATACAGCTACCAGTAAGTTCACTAAGCACTAGGGGTAACTAAACATTGCCCCACATTCAATGTACAAAATTCTATCGTAACTAACACCGACCTGTGGAAAAGTCAACTCTGCGTTTCAAAAATGATGTTAACTAATAAAATACCTCGACTTATATATAAGTACATACGGTAAGATTTTTGCGAGAATTTGATATGAGAATGACTGAGGCAGTGATGCCATAATTATTCTTTTAGTTTTATTGTCCAAAGTATATGGGCAAACATTTTTAGCTCCCCTTATAAAAGTTTTTGTAATGCATAACATGACTGTACAGTCTCTCACCTTGGCTTTACTGTCTCTCACCACACTGACTTTACTGTAGTCTCTCACCACACTGACCTTGACTGTTCAGTCCCACCACACTGACCTTGACTGTTCAGTCCCACCACCCTGACCTTGACTCTAATGTCTCTCACCACTCTGACCTGTACTGTTCAGTCTCTCACCACACTCACCTTGGCTCTAATGTCTCTCACCACACTGAACTTGACTGTTCAGTCTCACCACATTGGCCTTGACTGTTCAGTCTCACCACATTGACCTTGACTGTACAGTCTCTCACTACACTGACCTTGACTGTTCAAATGAACATTAAATTATTTGTGGGTATTGTGGGTTTGTAAGCTTTCAGAAGTTAAATCAAGATTAAACAATATGATGATGAAACATTTGTTCAAAATGAACCACAAGAAATGTGATTTTTTTTTGTTCTCTCCTCAATATAAACTCTGTCCTAAATCTTCTATCCACAATAAGACTTGCGATGGAATTGAACAAGTAATTGTTTACTAAATGGGTGGCTCCTGTTTTACCTGTTTATTATTACATTTTTTTAACCTGAGAAATTGACCCCCCCCCCTCCCAACTCCCCTTGACTTGTATGTGACTTTTCCATGATAGACTAATATGATAGTAGATTGAGAATTTTAATAACTGTCCTAAATTGGGGGAAATCAGACCCACACCACATGGAATATATTCTTAGTGAATTGTGACTCATCACGTAACTTCTATCCTCCCTAGCATCATCCCTAATAAGATGTAGCGTACCCTGCTTAGCATCACATCTGATACTGATAAGATGTAGCGTATCCTTCTTAGCATCACCTCTGATACTAATAAGATGTAGCGTACCCTGCTTAGCATCACCTCTGATACTGATAAGATGTAGCGTACCCTGCTTAGCATCAACTCTGATACTGATAAGATGTAGAGTACCCTCCTTAGCATCACCTCTGATACTAATAAGATGTAGCGTACCCTGCTTAGCATCACCTCTGATACTGGAACTGAGAAGATGTACTGTACCCTCCTCAGCATCACCTCTGATAAGATGCTGTCTACTGGAGGCCATGGATAGCCCAACAAATATAATTTACCATTATTTGAAGAAAATCTTTAGTCAATCTATTCGAATGAGTCAGAAATTTGAACTTTTATCTCACTGACAATCTCATGTTCAATAATTACAAGTTTGGATAGTTTAATTACTAAGCAAGGATAGAATTTGTCAATGAGAAAAACAAATGCTTGACTTCCTGTGAACAATCACGTTATTATATAAATTAATTTGTCACATATAAATTACAATTTTAAACTTATTTAATGAATAATTTGGAGCATAATCTCGTCTCTTCCTTGTATCTTTTTGTTGATTTTTTTTTTGTTCCTTGTATTTTTTGTATTCCATTGTATTTGATATGATATGAAATGTTAAGAAAACTAAAACTTTGTTACTCCAAGGTCAATGTTATTTATGAATGAATTGTGAAGCACAAGTTTTTGAGAAAGTGATAAATACAAGAAGTAAGACTCATCAATTGTATTTGAGACTTGTTATAGCAACCCCCATGTTTGTTTACATGCTGAATCTTTTGGATCAATTGTGGGAGTTGAGCTCACTGCCTGTTTCCTTCATTTAGAAAAATCCTGAGTTCAGATAATGAATATGATATTAACCACATGCAATTAGATGTCTTTGCCTTGAACATGATTAGACCTGGTTATCAACAATAAACAGAAATAAAATGATACAAGTAATTATAAGATACAAATTCATATTGTGTCAATGATTATGTCTAATTATAATTTGTAGATTTAGAAAATCTATGATATGGTAAATTGGTAAAAAGCGTTGCTTGCACTACTTGCCACACTATGCTTTCGTTTACAAATAACATTAATACTATTCTTGAATTCTTCATAATAACATTATGGATGTTCTTGGTACATCCTGGCTCTCAGCTCACCGTGCTGCTACTCTGGACTCTGATGATGACTTTCTCTCACTTCCTTCATAGAGCTCAAGCCTACCAAATTTATACTGAAGTGACACATCTAAGTACATTGTTTTCCAGTAGCCTGCCATTTTCCGTACAGCAAATATTAACGTGTTGTCACACATGGTCTGGTGTGTAACTGTAACAATGCTTCCACACATAGAATGGTAAATAGCATTCAGTTTACCTGTATCAAAAACTGAATCTCATCGAAGAAGCTCTACACATAATTATGACCTCAGAATGAATTGATCAATGAAAATCTACACAATGCGTTATGCTCATTATCAAAGACTGAATCTGTGGTCAAAGAAGCTCTACACATTATTAGGTGCTCCTTATCAAAGGCTAAATCATTAGTGAATCACTAATCAGAGAAGCTCTACTAAAGATGGAATCTGCATCAAAGTCAAAGACTGAATCTCTCATTAAAGCTCTTCATTATGTAGAAAAGTAGAAACTGACAGTCAAATGATCCTGACCCAAACTCCTTAATTTAAGTTATTAATTTAATACTACCAATCATTGTTGAATGACATTTTAAAAACAAAATTAAGAATTAACCTTCTAGAAAATTTTTTAATTTACCCTACTCCAACAGTGACGTTTTTTATTATAATAATAACCTTTTAAAAAAAAATTAAATACCGGTACAAAAAACTATGATGGCTCTAAAAATTGCAACCTGCCAAACAGGTCTAGACAAAAAAGATAAAAAAGTGGCATGGTTTGTTCATGTGTTGACAATGATCTGTTTATTGAACACCAACTACAATTTTCACAATGACTACAACAGGGATTCATGCAAGCAACTCAGGAAACACTCAGCACATGACATTTTTTGCCTTCAGTCACACAGAGGGTTGGACAATAGTCAACCCCATCAAGTTATAATACAGGGAAATTGGGTCGGTCTTGGGACCAAAATAATTTTGCAGTAGAAACTAGCAATTAATTTTTAAAATCTTCAGAAGGATTTAGCCACTATGGCATAACAGTGTCTGTATTTTTTTAAAATTTAGTATCATGATGTGTTCTAATTCTAATCATTTTATGGGGGTAAATAACCAACTCTCAAAGAAAAACTTACATAACCAAAAATGACTACTGAATATGTCAAATATGTTCAGCTATTCAAAGTCATTTCTAACTACTCCAATGCCGCAGTTATTGTAGGACTAGGACTGTGCTTATTTCATACATACACCAATGCTATTTTACATCAATTTATCCATGCTGAAACCGGTAAATAAGAGTTTTTGTTTTGAAAATGCCCATCTACATGTAAGACAAATGTGGTATACTTTTGAGTTACTTAGTTTTGGACACTGGTATACTTCTGCACTACTTGAGGTTTGGTCAATGTGCCGTGCCACGATAAATTGGATAAGGCTTAAGATTAATTCATTATGGAGGGTTGTCCAAGGGATATTGGAACTATCTACATGTATAACATCAATCTCTGCATTTTAGGTTCAGAATCTCTGCTTTCAACATAAGATATGTTATAACAATCCATGACATTTTATAACTGTCTGTGTATATCTAATCTACACAAAGAACATAAACACACATATACATACACAAATACAAGTGTATAAAAACATCCATCTGAATAAAAATCAAGTAAATGCCTTTCAATAGTTTTTATATTGTCAACAAAAGCCACTCACTTGCCCCTATCAAGTAGAATAATAGTACAAATAATTTATTCTTGGCAACTTTTCTTTCATTTAATGTCACTCTACAGTTATGACCAACTTGAAATTTGTAGCATCAAATCTTAGCCCATCAATAAGATCAAGTTCAACCCAGTCAAACTTGATTAATTATTATCTTAACAAAGACACTTAATCAATGTACATCTATTGTCCACATTAAAGCAACATAGAGATTGTGTGGACTTGTATAGGACAGTAGTTGTTATAAATAAACAATACCGCCATTTCTTCTTTTCTAGCTTAGAGATAATTTACAAAATGTTTCAGATTTCTAGTGGTTTTATTTAAATTTGGAACTGCCCATGGACTACCATGTTTCCCCAAGTATTACAACACTACCAGTGACCAGTAGATAAACTCAGAGGCCTGACCAGTGTGCACTTGGTTTAAGGATGTGTCTAAGACTCACATTAATCATAATTTTTTTTATTTTTTTTTTAAATGCACAAATAAAAATTAAATACCCAAGCTAAAAATGTTTCCCAATAATTCTCTCGCTGACAATAATACACAGTATAAATACTCATACAAGTGATAATGAGTTTTAATAAACTATGACTGTGACCATCACTATGTTATAGTGTTGTTATCTTTCTAGTAAGACACTGAGATAATTTAAAAGAGATTTTCTATATCAGTTGGTGTAAATACACAAGCCTTAATTCATGTTCATAACAAATATATTTAAATTTGTGAATATATTTTTTTTTAATTTTAATGTAAGAGCTTTTATCAAAATGAGAAATGTTTTATGTAAACATCTTCTGTATTTTTAAGTTAACTATTATCTGGGTGGGCATTTTCTAAGTTAATTATTTTCTTAGTGTTTTTTTAATTATGTGAGAAACTTTTGTGTTGGCTAATGTCACAAGAAACCACAGTCATAACAAAGGATAATGACAAAATCTTTCTAGGCCAGAAAAGCAAATTGGATTTCTGAACACAACAGAATTTCTTTTAAAAAATTTAACAGCAAATATTGAATAAGTTATTTATAGAGACATTGGATCATTTTTAACAAAAAAATATATTTTTAAAAAGTATTATATTGATTGAATGCTCTGACAATAGGCTCCAAAACTTCTTGATGTACAGGTACCTAAGATGAAACTAAGTTTACTTTAGTAGCCCATTGACAGCATTTTTTATTCAACAAACTTTGCTGTTACAAATGGATGATGTTAAAAAAGAGACAAATATACATAGGACAATTTATTGAAATATTTTGAATGCCATGATAAAATGCAGTACCAAGTACCAGTCTTTCAATTTTTTTTTGCCATTAGTCTTTTAATAAATGTTCATTCTAAGTCTAGCCTCTTATCATCAATTTTTCTCAAACAAAGATTTCTTACAGTTGAAAATCTTACAGGATGTAAATAAATTTGTATTTTTGACTTAAAAAAGCCATATCCTTGAAATTATCTATTTAAAATGAACCGTGTTAATATCAATACAAATATCCCTTCAAAGGACCATTACTTTTGTGATGCGGAGATACAATGCACACTCTGTATCCAAATGTGAGTGAACCAAGAAGATTTGGTTGCATTAGTGGCCTATATAATATTGTTTGCCAGTAATAAGAAAATTCTTACACATGTTCAATGCAAACCCCTATTTTTAAGTAGCCTTTTAAACCTAAATTTCTCACACTTAAGGCAGTAATATATACGTTATTCTAAATTATTTTACTAGAAACGGTTATTGTAATAATTATCTTGCTAGTAGACCTATAGTTGTGATAAATCACAATTTTTAATAGCAACAGGCGTTTCAAAGTAAAATGCATAAAAAAGTACATAATAAATAATTCGTGTGCCAAATTAATCAGCATCGGCCGATTTTAATCTGCAGTCTGCCTATTCTTTTTTCTGTGCAACTCTCAATTCTGATGACAAATGAATAACGGAACCAACAATGGGTTCACTTGGCATTGAAAGAAAACTTGAAATAAAAAGAGACCGTTTTTTTGTGCTACTGGAGATTACAAACTTGAAATCTGTAAGTTTTAATACAAATGACACTAAAAAAAATTGGGAGGATTGGTTATCTCAAATTTAAAATCCTGTTAATTTCTACTTTAAAAAAAAATAAGAATATTTATCACATTTAACACTGCTATATTAAACATAATAGTAGGGCCTGACATTTTTTATCTCATCCCAAACATCTCTCAACAGGGCTGTTTATCTACTTCAAGAAAATTGAAATTATTTCACAAAGCTTGCTGTTCTGTCCAATGTTCTTTTGTTGTTGAAATGACAAGGGATCAAACATGATCAAATACATCCAATATCACACTTAGTCATTTTTCTTCTCATTGCTTGATTTCTTCACTGAGCCGTTTTCTTCTAACACATTTGTCTTTTTCTCAGCTTCTGTTTGTGCCCCGTCTCCCTGAGTAATGGCTGGTGTCTTCTCCCCTTCCCCTTCTGTGGCCACTGCACCGTTAGTTTCCAGCATTTCTTGGCTTGTGCCAAATTCATTCACCCTCTTCGGGTCAACAGAATAAATATATCTCTGATAAAGGTAGATAAAAAATATCACATCTGGAAAGAAAAATTAAAGACAAACATTTTCAGCAAAGTTATTTTTTCAAATTTTACACTTGCTAATATACTAATGGGAGAAAGCATAACATTTCAATTATTGAGACAAAGTCTGTATATTTTATTTTATAATAATGTATTATCTAAAACTATTTTTGTTAAAAATGATTTGTAAATATTCCTTAAGTTGGGTTATATTTGTATAGTTTAAAAAATTTTTTAACCAGCTTTGACTTTCATAAAATCTCTAATTTGGATGCCACCTACCATCTCTGAGACATCCAAGTCTGTACAATGTTGGCATTTTGATAACAAAAGCAAATATGTCGTCAATAAAAGTGTTTAGGGCCTTGTATGTAAGCATCCTCCAGGGCAGATGGGCCACTGACTTGAGTTTGTAGTTGATGAACAGCTGTGGTGTCATCATGATGAAACCTACACAACAGAACCAGATAATCAATCAGCTTCACAAGTTCAAACTAAATTAACAATTCATGACATTAACTAAAAATATAATTCATGAGATTAAATAATCAAATAAATTGATAAATTGGCTCCACAAAATTGGATCCCATTTAAATCCTGTTCTTGTTACTGTGTCGTTTGACTATATTTTCCTTTTTTTTTTCAGAGAACAAATTCATGTATATTGTAAAAAAATCAGGCTTTTAGGGAATGCATTATTGAGATATATTCAAAATAATGGACATAGTACATTATTAAGCAAACAAAATACTGTCCAATTAAAAAGCCGAATAATTGAGAACCTTGGCCCAGCAATGGCCCAGAGTCACTTTAAAAAAATCTCCTTCACTACCATTGTGACCAAATATGACCTACCCCCGTCACTACTAAGGCATCCAAATGTGTCCAAGATGCCCATATACCGCGACATCTCACAAAAGCCTTGATTCTTTGTGAATGTTGATGGGATTTTTACAGCTAAAAAGTGGTTATTATTTACTTTTAGCCGATTGTGTCAAACACCATCACCAAGCTCAGAAAACATGTTTGCAGCTTTTGATATCATACCCAAAACTAGGTTAAAAATTCTATAATTTTTTAAAGATCCTTTTTAAAAAAAGAATTCACATAGAAATGCATATACCATTAACAGTAACCAAATTTTGGGAGCCTTGCCAACAACCACTTATATTCCTATTTTACATTATCCCGGGGTTTATATATAAAATTGATTCAATGCTAATAAATAGAATATGATTCTGCAGTTTGAAAACTCTTTATGCTTGTTAAATATTTGCCTATTTTACCACAATAAATTGTAAATCACCATAGTTTACATTTGTAGCAGTTAAAATACTAATCATATTCAATACCCTCAGAGTGTGTTCTCTTAGTTTGCCTAGATGGGATGGATCCCATGCTAAACGGCAACAATCAATAACACAATCTTCAATTAACTGTTGTTTTGATTAGTGATTTTTGCTGCCAACCACTGTAGTAAAATTATGGGTAAACTCTATTTTTAACCAAGTAATTAAAAAATATGATCCCTCCAGTCCTTACCAAAAGTGAGTAGAAAGCCATACAACATGCTGAGTACCCAAGAGTACCAGCCCTTGTGTTCCTGGTACACCAGTGAGTAGACAGCGTAGCCCCCTAGCAGTGGGTACAACAACCACGACAGGTAACGGAACGCCAGCTGTAAAGGAAGTATGCAGATAAAAATTTTGAAATTAACTGTGCATAAAATTACCGGACCCTAAACTCAATAACTCTAGAAACAAAAACTAAACCCATGACATCCCTTAATACCAGACAAACCAAGAGTTTAGATAGAAATAAAAGCAGGCTTACAATGTCATACTCCTTGGTATGAGATTCGGTATAAGTGGCCTTCTCTGACAGCCTTGGCCTTGGGAAAATGCCAAAGATTTTATTTTCCCTATCAAGCTGAAACAAAAAAAAAAAAATTAATTGTTCAATGAGAAAGAAATATATTTTTTCACTTGAGTGCGTAATTATTGTAGGATTCAATCGATTTAATAACCCCTACATCCACACTATGTTTTTTTACTTCATATCCACACAACCTTATGGACATTATAATTATAAATCATGGGAAAAAAAATAATAATTTGTGAATAATCTCCCAATAGCTGTATGGTTAATCTGCATGTTAGTATACCCAGTTTCATCAGATTTGGTTATTTTTCATTCGGTATAATATATAATGATCTGACATTTCTATGATATTCATTTTGATAAAATGGGAAAAAATTTGTAAACCTTGCATCAGCAAAAATAGTCATGGTAATTTTTTAAAATTTGATGCTGCGACCGACTATTGAAGATCACATCATTTTATTAACATATATAGCATAATAACATATGTAATGTATTAAATTCTATTTTTTAATAACAGATTTGTAGTTTTATTTATTTATGTCTAACTTCATTTCAATATTTAAAAAAAAAAAAAATTTGTGTATGCTTATCATGTATTTCCCAGGTTGTAAAAAAACTTACTTGTGCATTGACCACTTTGTTGATCTTCCAAATCTCAATACAAAGTCCAATAAAGACACTTATCTTGACCACGGTATTTGTTTCATTGTCCATGATGTACAGCAGCACAATCAGAGACTGGACCACATTAAAAAACACTGACCGAACAGACAGACCTTCAAGGGACTTACGGCTCTTCCAGAACTGAATATCTGAAATATAAATAATAGTATGTTTGTCATCTTGCTCTCAGTGAGTCTAGTTCTGATTCAGGTAATATGCACAATCCAAATATATCAGAATATAAGCAATCCTATGAGTCTAGTTCTAAGTCAGGTAAATATACACAATCAGAAATTTTTAAAAATGAACTTCAATTACCGGTATTCCAAAACAAAGTTATATAAAAAAAATTTTCAAGGTGATGATGGTTAGTCTGATGTTTTGTATATTACCATGTATAATGTGAGAAATTTTTGGATAAAAATGCTTTATGTAAGTTTATGAATTTTTTTCATTTCAGTAAGTGACATATTATACTAAAATGCATATGTAACAACTCTTGGTTCACTCAAATTTTGTACCGAGCGTGCATCGTTTCTGCACAAAACACAAGTAATGTAATTAATTAGTGCCCCTTTGAATGAATATTGGTATAGTTGTATTAGTATGCAATGGTCCATTTAAATAGAGAGTTTAGCCTGTCTGCCAAAATCCGGTGTAATGTACTATTTTACAGACGATTGTGAATCGACTTTAAAGATTTCCGAGGGAATATCAATTCAAAAGGTCTCACCATTCTTAAATGCAAGAAATTCAAAGACACTGTGAAGAATAGACACAACGATAGTAAGTGCCAACAGATAAGGACTGGTCTCCAGAAAAGCAACCTGGGGAATATTTAATGAGTCTGAATAAATGTCAGTTAACACATCCATTAACATAATAATTCGTGATTTAAAAATCAGTAAAATTGTACTTTATAACATTACTTCACAAGAATGAAATGAATTAGGTAATACACCAATATACAGGACATTCTTTAACAATTCTTACACAAAAACATACAACACACAGGACATTCTTTAAGATAAGATAAGATTCTTTTATTGATCCAAATAAATAAATGTTTTTTGATTGCATTATACATTTTCAGCTAAAAAATGAAACACTTTGAACACTGAACACAAGACATTAATAATAAATTATTTCAAACAGCCATTCAGTGAGTTATCTTAGCAAAATCGGGGACTTATTAGTTCTCATTCAGATGTGTGACTTCAGAGGAAGCACGCCTGTAAATTCGTACGGATTGGGGAACAAAAGAATTTTTATATCTGTCTTTAACTATTCCTATACAAATACATACAATACACAGGACATTTTTGATCTATTCATATCTCAAATAAAAGCAAATGACTTGAACTCCCGATCACATGTAGACTTACAAAAGTTTCAATTTTGTGCTAACCATGCCATAGTATGTAAAAATTTTGCTATATACTTTACTTTAATAGCATGCAGTTTTGCTTGATCCAGTTGATCAGTTTATTATTGTTTTATTAAACATTGTATTTTTATTAAATTTTTTGTTATATTTTACTCTTTAAAAAGGATGCCTTAAGCTACCATTCTGACTAATGTTTGTAACAGGGTAAGATGGGGAAACTAGGAATGACTTTATAGCACCAAGAGGTCAGTGCCAGAGATTATGTGATTCCCAGTCCTAAACAAAACAAATTTCAAAATGGTTTTGAGGGACATTGTGGTTTTTTTTCACTTCTTAGTAGTTGTTAGAATCTGAAAGAATGCATGTGTTACCTTAAGTGAGTCCTGGTCCTCCTCTTCATCTCCACCATCTGACCCAAGCATGCTGGCCCATTTATTGCGCATTCCCTGGGCAGCATACATTTGCCATTTGAATAGTGACATGGGGCTATATGTAAGGGTCAAGTTTAAGATTCTGAAAGAATTGGAGAAAAAGTTAAATATTTTTACATCAAAAATCTTTTCGTAAAAAATTTAACAAATAACTGTAGCAATAACCATGTACAAGAATTGCAAATGATGTATTTAATTGGTTGTTTCATTAAAGTACTCACTTGGTTATATCATTAAGAACGATCTAGGTTGCATAATTTAAGTACTAACTTGGTTGTATCATTGATAGGTGTGTAATCAACATTGAGATTCCAGTAATCATTGAGGTAAATAACAGGATAGTATTTATTCAGGTCAGGAAGAAACTCAATGTCTGGGGGGAAAAATTATTACAAAATGTTTATTTAAAAGTACTGTTGAAAACAAGAGCGTGAGTTAAGTGTAAGCTAAGTTGATTCAAATAAACTTTAGTAACTTTTTCCTTATTTTCAATAGTATATCTATAGCCAGATACTAAGAGTGCATGGTATGCAAAACTAAGAAAACAAAACTACATCAACTTTATCAAGAGATACTTACATTCATCTAGTGGAGGTGGTACTGAACCTGGTATCCATGGTGAGTAATCGTCCAGCAGATTGATAGTTAAATTAGGGTGCCAGTGAGAAAGTATCTCAAAAGTTGAAGAATTCTCTTTCTAAAATTAAAAAATTAATCAGTTTAAAATACCAAATTAAAATGAACAAATATGTAAAAACCAGTAGTTACTGAAACATAGTTATTTTCTATTAAATTGATAAACACTGATTATTTGTATTTTTCAAAATGTTGCACATTTCAAAATGATTAGGACTACAGAAATGGTGAGCAAAGATTTCTACTTTGTGAGGCTCAGCCTAAAAAATGCATCCATGTGATGGGCCGAAAGTGTACAGAAAAACCCAAGCAAAGGGATACAAAACAAACCTAGTGAAAATGGGTTTTAAAATGCCTAGATAATGGCGTTCACTTAAAAATATGAAAATGATAAGTGAAACTGTTTAAGTTTGCTCTTAAAGTGTTTTATAAATTTGCAGCATGGTCAGTGGAGCCATGAGTAGAACTGCAGGTATGGGCTTGTCGATCATGTGCAATCTTAAAAAAATTGCTAAACTTACTGATTTGAAGAACTGGATAACATTTTTTGGGAAACACCCAGCTCACATTTTGCCCACCCATTTAAACAAATTTCAAACATTTTTTTTATTCGATTGAATTAAAAATATGCAAGATTTCTTCAATAGTTTATCAAAGTAAATCACAGAGTTTATTGGTGAAACTATTCATGTTAATAATATAACACTAAAGTAGCTGACGGTGTCTTAGACTTATTGTAAAAGTACCTGCACAAGATCAGGGTGTACATCAGTTTGACCAGTCAACAGATTCACAGACTTGTGAAATTTCCTCTTTTTAAATTTGTTAAGCCCTAGAAACAATGGTATTAAAGATGGATTTAAATAATTTCAATAAATTACATGAACCTTAAATTATTTTAATTCTGATAAACTATTTAGAAATTATATCAAATGAGATTAAAATTTTCTTGAACAATTTGTCAAGCCACTTACTTTTTGATCTATGTGCTGTAAATTTCTTTGAATAATTCTTAAATGCCCTGTCTTTAGGATCAGGTGACATGCCTTCTTTTACAAAATACACATGTATATATAGTGAGCCATTGTTTTGAACTCTCTGAAATAAACACATTATAAAATATTGCCGTTCTTCAAATGCATGAGATATCTTAATGTAATAAATTAAATGGACTTTAAACATACATTACATAACCTTTAGTAGAAGCATATTAAATTTGTTATTTAAGCAGTAAAAGCATTTTTTAAAATAACAATTTAAAAAAAATGGAAATTTTGAATTATTTATTGGCTACCTCTGAGGCTTCAATTTGTCCGGTATTTTCAAAAGTGCCATCTCCTATTGGACCTTCTGTCCAATCTCCATAAACAAGACCTTTCTGAAGCCAGAAGAGAGCCTTTTCATTCTTGAAATCTTTGAACTCTTCTTCCTCAGAAATGTAAATATACATGTCCTGTGCAAAAGTATTATAAATAATTAGCAAAATTATAAATTTGAAGGGGTAATAGGACATTGAAAATCAAATAGGATGTTAATTTAGGTAATTACTGAAAATCTAACCATTCTAACATCAAAGAAGTTTCAATATTAATAATACAAAGGAATATCTCTTTTAAAATGTAACAGTCTGTTTAATTAACTCCCCCCCCCCCACCCCCCCCAACCACCATACTTATCATATTTTGTTTAGCTTGAGAATTTGAAATGTTTAATCTAATTTTGTTTTTTTTAAATAAATCATTTAAAAAAATAATTGTTTTAATATACCATAGTTGTAAACTTGTCAAAAACATTAGTTGCTGGTCTAGCTGCTTGACCTGGCTGTCCACCTGCACTAGCAGCTTCTTGCGGTTGTGGAGATCGTCTGAACATGCTAGCAATAAAGTAGATGAACACCATTCGTATAGCAAGTGTCTTTATCATTGCCCAACCATTAGGTCTTGCTTGCTGGGGCTAAAAAATATAAGACAAAATAATAAAGATAGAATGATATTTTTGTTACACCTGAAACAGGTTATAAAAATCAATCATATTTGTTAAAAATTAACACTTAATAATAAATTATTTGATAAATTAGAGTGGTTCCCAAAATATGCAATGAGGCTTCCTCACAGGGGCTATGCAAAATATTACAAGATTTTAATTATTTTATTTTAACTTTAATTCAATGTAACAGGACATGGCATCTGTAGCAGACCTGGTACATAAGAGTAACTCACTTAGTAATAACTGTTTGCGAAACAGAATCTTCTACAAATGATACTAAAGTTAAAATAATTAATTTTCAAAATGATGTTAGAGCTACATTTTCACAGATTCAAGATCCATTTAACGCCACTGCTCAATTTTAATAACCTGCTGCAAGAGAAGTTAATCAAATTGGGTTGTCTTGCAACCAAGGCCATCGTGTGGGCCCTTTAGCCCCTGTGGATGTTGTGATGTGGGAAAAATTTTTAACTACCTACATTGAATGCAAGGGGCAAAAAACTGAAAAGTGATAGCATGGCTCTGCTCGCAACAGTACATTGAAAACAAAATTTAGCTGCTTAACAACTCCACTAAATTAAATCATTTGAGAGAAGGAAATGAATTGGGTGTGTCCAGTTCGATTCTAAAATTAGAGAAAATGTGTGGTGATTAAAGGCTCATCAATCCCACATTTAGGCTACCCCTTTGTTGAACCTGGACTTGGAAACTTTCAGAAAGGGCTAGGCGGCTAGGATGGATTAGCAGTAAGGCAGATGATGGATGTCTTCAAATGTCATAGAGGTTCTTCAGGTCAACTACCGGCCATAGTTCCGTATTCAAAAGATTTGCATATTTTAATTCTTAGCTTTGTGTTTATTTAAAACAGTTTTTTTTTCATTTTTTTTGTTTTAAAGTGGGGGTGGGGGGACATAATCAAAATTAACAACATACTGAGGTACTTCTTTTTTCAATTAATCAAGAGACAGCATTTTTAGAGCGCTTCTTTTTTCCACACCAGTGATTATCTTGGTGTATCAGCAAAGAAGGGTTCATTTTGTTATTTCTTTTGAACAATGTAATTTGACTTTGAATTAAAAAAAACTAATGAAAATTTCATTTCAATATATTTCATTTTAACATTTACATTATTGATCATTACACTTATGACAAGGCAGTGTCTACACGTCCGGCGGGCCGGACATATATCTCCCGCAGTATTCGTCCGGCGACCAAGTCACATGACCGCCGTAACAAAGTGGCGAGAGATATTTTGTCGATCAGCCTTGTCTCGTTACCGCGAATGATTCAAAACTATTGTTAATTTTAAAATCCATTTCTCTACCAAGTAATGTACTAAGTATCTTGCATGCAAATAATAGAAAAAAAACTTAAGTGAAAGTGGCTTGTAAACATTTTTGTTTAGTTTGTTATTTGAGTTTGTGTACCAGTAATCCATAAAATAAATTAGGGGCCAGTATTCAGTATGGAGTAGGCAACCAATAAAAGTAAAAGATTTCATTTTAAATTGTTTAAATTGCTACAAAATATTTTAAAACTTCTCATAAAACTACTGTTGCTGATGAACTTGATAATATAGATTAAATATAATTTCAAATATTTTTTAATTAAAATGGGGAAAAAAAAAAGGTTCCCATACAGGGAATTGATCCACAAATATAATATCATCAAGCGGCCACTCTACCACAAGACCACACACGATCTTCTCAATAGGCAATTCCTTCAGAATAATAATGCCTACTAGTCGTCCGGCAGTCACGTGACATGCTCGCCGGACGTATATCTCCCACACTATTTGTCCGCCGCGCCAGACGTGTAGACACTTCGTTATGACAATGACACAAATAATAATGTTCAGTGAAGAACAGAAAGTTAACATACACATCCTTATGATGCAACAATTGGTCTATTCTCCCTAGCTCTAAGCCAAGTGTTTGTTTGGGATTCCCCAAAGTGAAGCCATTGAGCCTGAGCTTAGGGTAAGACTAAGACAACTAACTCTTGACTCTTGGCAAAACCCACACTGCTAAGGTACTAACTCAATCTATACCATGGCTCAGTGTCAGAAAAAGGCATCTTTCAACCTAATTTCTGTACAAAATATACACATACCGTCAGCTGTGAGACTAATCAATTGTTATGAGAGCGAGCTTCTCTTATACTCTTAGTCTTAACTTAATATTTTGCAGAGTGACTGTAGACTGTAGAGCACTTCACCACTTCCACAGTCACAGTGCAGATCACTCACTCACTCAGAAAGTATAAATATATCTAGATACTGATAGTATTTTGAATGCAAGATTATATTTCAATAAAATAAAATTTCAATAAATATTACCTGTTCATTTGCGTTATTAGCAGCAGCATTATTTTGCTCTGTAGCAACTACATTGGCGTCCGCCATGATGAATAAACTTGAACGTAATAAACCGTACCAAATGGTGCTGAATGTAACTCTCAAAATGTTATCGTTAATATGTACTGCCTCTACGGAAGTAATTTACGTACTGCAAAAAGGACGATCATCACCGTCTGAAAGAAAATTGTTGTAGGCCGAAAATGGCCTAGTCTATAGTTAATTATATATTTGACCTGTTATTTATAAAATGTACAACATTTTATGATGATTTTATATTAGAATTTTAACTTGAAAATATTTTTTTTGGTTGAACTATATGTCTTTCTGATAAACAAGTTATATAAATGTATACAAATCTTTATCAACAAAAATAAAAAAGTATGTTATCTACCATGAGTATGAGCCAGGAATTCAGAAAACTCTAAACATAGAAGAGTGTAAGTTGTCAAAGTAATTGTAAACATTCAACTAGTAACTATTTGCAGGAATTGGTTTTTGTGGCCCTGGATTATAAACGAAATTTTTTTTTAAAAATTGTATGTGCATAGTCTTTGAGAATATAAGTATTATATATAATATAAGTATAGAATCATAGAAATAAAGCTAGTTTTACCTTCCGCTAGTACTAAATCACTAAATCTAAGTAAACTAAGTAAGTCAAAAAGGGACGTGTAGTAGTCTAAGTCTAAGTAGTCTAAGTAAGTGTGTTTACCAAAAAAAGTATCAAAAAATAATTTTAACCCTCTGGAGACGGAGCCTTTTCGGGGTGTATGTGCCAAATTGACGGAGCAATTTTTACGAGCTCGAGACTCGCATTGCAAAAAAATTTATAAAAAATAAACTATTCCCTATATATAATATGTAAAACTATATATATTCTTGTAGGAAATTGAATGAACTAATACAATCTTTATGAATCAAACTGACATATCAAAATTTATGCAAATGAGGTACCCTTATTTGCATAATTTATCCGTGTAATTTTTTGTTACACCTAGAATAAACATGACTTACTTGTATCAATTGTGTGAATTTTTTTATGGATGAAGCCTGAATAAGTCCTAATACTTATTTTTTGGGGGGAAAGGGCCTATGAAGGCCCTTCAGACACCTCTGGCACATGGTTCTACTCCTTTCCCACCCCCACCCCCTATTTTTCAGTTGTTACAGACACACTGTAACAGGCCCCCATTTATGACCTAGGGACCTTCTCTTAAGCTGAATGTTACTGACAAATGTGTCTGCATATCAATTGGTCTCTCTCATTAACACTTGAGTGATATTTAGTGTAAAAAAATAGCATAAAATACTCAAATGGGGTGCTTATGACTTATTTATAGGACTTATGTTGTCTAAAAATTCAGAGGGGTCATCTCTGTCCATTTGAGGACCCCTAATACTAGTAATACTAAACCAAGAGTTCACAACATTAGCATTACCCTCAATTTGAAAGTCTTCATTAATTCCCTGGTTGTTTTCAGCAGTTTCAGTGTCAAATTCACTGCTAGAATATCAAAATTACTAAGCACAGTTTGATCAGAGTCACTGTCAGACATGTTCGAAATTCACGATGTAACTACACACACACACAAAAATTCCTGCAAACAAATAAATTGAGTTCACCTTCAACGAACGCCGCCATTACAATGCCGGGATGTGCAGGAATACGTATGAATAATTTTGATTCGCTGGTACAACGCCAAGCCAGCCAATCGTGAGGCTCGATCTATCAGGCCGACGGCTCGGACTTGACGTCTTTCTCGCTAGTGTACCTCGGGCCGATAGATCGGCCCTTACGTCTCCAGAGGGTTAAATTAGTAATTAGCCAACTCCACTATGCGATTAATTCATTATCTGACTTTATTGATTTAGTTTAGTTGTTTTCTTTTACAGTTTAGTTTAGGTGAATGTAAACCATATAATAAATAGGAATAGGATGTCTACATCTGGTCAAGTCAGAGCAGTCATTGAATTGTTCTGCTTGTTCCTTCGAGAAAATTGTGTATCAGATGCTCGTGCTGAGTCTTTGAGGCAAGCTAAATTTAACAAAGATTCTGCTGTAAGTTAGTGAAATCAATTAATTTCATTATTGCTATAATTAACTTTTGAAATGATTCATGAGGCTGTAACTATTAACGTTATGCTTTAGAAAATTTATTGTAGTTTAGCCTGTTAATTTCAAGATAAGAATATGTAATGGGTAAAAAATGTGAACATTGTCCAAGGCTCACTTTTAAAAAACTTCAAAGCAAGGTTGAAGGCTGATTATGCTAAACATCTTGCCTAATTGAATTTATCAACTATCTTTAAAGCTTTAAATTTAGTTTGTATTTGTCAAAATAACATTTCTGAATTATTATTTTTTGTGTGCTTCTTTTGTTTCTAGGCATCCAAATTATGGACGATTCTTTTTGACACTATTTGTTTCTGCAATTTTTGTCAGCCATTGTTAGTAACTCCAACTAAAGGTAATTAATATATGGGGCCATCTATATAGAACATACACATTGACGGGGGAGTGGTGGTTGTCGATTTTGGAGAATTCCTACATTTTTTAAATTCCTAGCGCCCTTGCAAAATTTATTTTGTTAAATTCGTACAAGTACACTTGGAAATAGCAAAGATGCTAAAAAATAATAATAAAGGGTTGGGTATACTTGAAAAAAGCATCATCAAGTAACTGTAAAAGTATGGTTGCAAAGCTGAAACTTAAAGAAATTAACGGAAGGGCACCACCAGGAGTGGAGCCTGCGGCTTAATTTGACTCAACACCGGAAAACAAATCTCCTGGTCCAAGGTTGAGTCTCAACAGATCGCAGTGAGGTGGCTGCTCTACTGATTACGACACCCCGACCGAGAACTAAGTCGTCTACAAATGATTTAACACCTCCACGCCGCATGGGGTGAATATCGGACAGGCCCCCGCCCGCACTGCTCGGCGGAGCGGCAAAGACCTCTTACTACGGCTGAACCTAGACGAGAAAGCTGGGGCAATCCAAGGCAGGGCCTTGCTTAGGACAAGTGGCACCCGGAGGGAATTCTGAAAATAGTGTTGCTCAATAAATATAAAAAAATGCTAGGTGAAAAGAAGATTTTTTACGCCCCTTGACTTTGTACATGGGACTTAAAAGTTTAATTCAATATTAAAGTCCTGTCCACCTAGGGTGAGTGCCCCCATCTTATTACCCTGCTTGAAGGCAATGTGACCTTCATAGTAATGCAGCACATATTTGGGGTACCACTGGGCTTGCCAAACAGCGATGAAAACGTGTGACACATTTTGTACTGATACATTACAAGTGTCTATAAATATACATACACATTGAAGGGGTGTCCAAAAAGTATTTGTGCATTAGGGGGAAGGGTACAATGTGACTTTTTTACATTCATACACAAAGTGTTTCAAGAGTATAAAAAAATTTGTTTAAATCTTATTGATAATTTATCAATTAGATTTACTATCCTTTGCCTTTAGGTTTCATTTTATGGAAGTGAAAATAAGCTTTCTTTTTTTTTTTTTTTTGCTCTAGCTCTTGTGCTATCTTTTATCAAACTGGAAATGGCAGGCAATTATACTTCTTAGCCTTAATTGTTCTTAAGGGATGGAGTCCAATTAGAAGATCTTTCTATTTGTCACAGTTCTGAGTCCTGAACTGCTCTCTCCAACTCACTAATTAATTTTATTCTAATTTCTCACTATCTCATTGAATGGATCCCTTTGCCAAATGCCACATGATGATTTGCCTTATGCAAAATGATTATTTGCCTCATGACTTATGCTACATGATTTGCCTTATCCCACATCATTATTTACCTTATACTACATGATGATTTGCCTTATGCTGCATCATTATTTGCCTTATGCTACATGATTATTTCCCCAAGTCACATCATTGTATTCCCTGTGCTACATGATTACTTGTCTTGGTATTCTATGAGGAAGATTGGCTAGTAATTTTTAAATGTGGTTTTCTCATTTTGTACCTTGTCATCATTTGTTTATTTTATCTCTTGCTCCATATTTGTGTTATATGACCTACCTGGAATCTTTTCAAGCTTGCGAAAGTTTAATATTAAAAATTCACCTTTTCAAAAGGTACATGTACAAGCAATAATTATTCTGAATTAACTTTTTTTTATTATTTAAGAATTTTGAATGCCATTTTCAAATTCAATTGATGTTTTGATGTTATGACAGCATCCACTTCTGTTGGCATGTTATGTTATTTCTGCCACTTTTATCTTTACCAGAGGATGTAGTGGTGTATGTCAAAACTGAGCTGCAGAAATGGGGTTACCTCAGCCAGTCACTAGCCATGCTGCCCTCTGATATGTCCAGCGGGAGCAGAGAGTTACTTCTGGCGCTTGGTTGGGTGGTGCACACCCAGAAACTGTTTGATAAAGTCATCACAAGGAGATCGAACCCACTTGAACAGCAACTGCTTGAATTTGTGCCATCGGATGTAAGAGGCTTTTTTTATCTGTTGAATTTCAGTCACAGCCACATTTGTCAACATGGCTTGTCCATGTGCATTGAGGTGAAGTAATAATAATAATAAAGCTTATTTGAAAATCATGCTTCATCCCCAAAGGCTCAAAGCGTGGTACAAAGTCATCCATATTAAAAGAGAAATGGAAAAAATCTATATTTTACCACATAATAAATAATAAATAATTGATACCATTTTTGTCCCCGTAAAACAAATTTAAAAGATATGGGTCAATCATTTTGGTGAGTTTTATAAGAATTTTCAAAAAGCTTAAAAAATAATATTGTTATTTCAAAAAATTATAAATTATAATCGTTTAAAGCTTATTTTATATCTTAATTATTAAAAAAATGTTGTTGTTTTTTCTTTTCCAAACTTCTCACTTAAATTAGGGGAAGCAAACAAATTTGGACACTTGCCCTCCAGATTTGTGTAAACAAAGCAGTATTTTGCCTGCAGAGCGCACCCAGCAACAATTGGTGCTGTGCGGCAAGCTTCAGATGGCCTTAAGAAGACTATACTCTGTTGACCAGCAGCTAGCAGGGCTCAGAAATACTGTAAATACATTCTTCTGATTTATCTTTGTTTACATTCAATCACTCAAGTCCCATGGTTTGCAGTGGCTAGTCTGATATCATTTGTGATTTCTGGTCTTGTCATGTCTGGTCACATCATGTCTGCTGGTCATGTTTTGGTACCTTGTGCTGATGCAACATTAGTGAGAACTTTTTAGTAGTAAGAGTAACTGATATTTTCTTATGCTTTGGTACATATGGCAGGAAGGTTCTGGCATTCTATTGTATGCTTTGGGGGTTGGGGATAAAGAAAGACATTATTTCATAACCCTGTTGTTGGTGATACAGTTGTGATGGTTAACTAAGCCTATGACAGAGTAACTGTTACTGCCACATCAAGACATCAAATGTAATTGAAATAAATCAAGTCCCTTGAAGTAACTTACAGTGGCACTTAATTACAATAAGACCGCATTCACATGATAAATAATAACTTCACTGATAATGCAGAATATCTATAAATATATATATGTTCACTTCTGTTTTATTAGATATCTTCACTACTGTCCTTGCAATTATCAAACACTTAACTATAGCACAGACTCACAACACCATTTTTCCAACATGGCTGTGTACCTTCGTCCGTTTTACCTATATCTTCTTATTCTCTCCCTTGAGTCTGCATAACATCAAACTAGCACACACAAAGTTATACTGCTACAATCTTGTCTGTGTGAGACCTGTTACTACTTATAAACTTGCAATGCTAGTTAAGTGCTGGAGTATTAGAGTATTGTGACCCAAAAAAAAGGGGGGGGGGGTGGGGCTACAGAATGTAACTGTCAAAGTTTACAAAGTAAAACAAGATAAAAGATAATACATTGTGATGTTCACTTGAAGATATCTCATTGATAAAACTTTAATGTTTAAGTTCTTCTTTTCCCAGATCCATCAATGCACCCAAGGTGTGTGCCTACAGTCTGACCTCAACCACCTGACATCTTTAGAAGTTTATTTACTGCGGCACCCTGAAAGCTTGAAACAGGTATATGACGGTTGGCAACAAATCAACTGAAATTTGTCTTGAAAAGGGCTTTACAAAAAAAATGTACTTATTACCCAAGATGCGTGTAATTGTTATACTGGGAGTGATAGAATTACTTACAAATTTTTTTTTTATGTGAGTGATTCATTGTTTGACAAGGATGACTCGATTAAAGAATCCTAAGGGAAACTACTCATTACAAATAGTGAACACTCATTTTCTACAGATGTTGAATGAGTTGGAGAAAGACAATGTAGAGATGAAACACTTGCTGGAATGGAAGGAACTGGAGCATTTCTTTTGGGAGTGGATGGTGAGTACATTGGACTGTCACTTGTGGGTAGAATGGACTATCACCTTTAGGTACATTGGACTGTCATGGTGAGAACATTGGACTGTCACTTATGGGTAGAATGGACTATCACCTGTAGGTACATTGGACTGTCATTGCTAGAACATTGGCCTGTCATGGTGAGAACATTGGACTGTCACCTGTGGGTTGACTGGACTATCACCTGTAGGTAAATTGGACTGTCATGGTGAGAACATTGGACTGTCACCTGTGGGTAGACTGGATTATCACCTGTAGGTACATTGGGCTGTCATGGTGAGAACATTGGACTGTCACCTGTGGGTAGACTGGACTATCACCTGTAGGTACAATGGACTGTCATGGTGAGAACATTGGACTGTCATCTGTGGGTTGACTGGACTATCACCTGTAGGTAAATTGGACTGTCATGGTGAGAACATTGGACTGTCACCTGTGGGTAGACTGGACTATCACCTGTAGGTACAATGGACTGTCATGGTGAGAACATTGGACTGTCATCTGTGGGTAGAATGGACTATCACCTGCAGGTACATTAGACTGTCATGGTGAGAACATTGGACTGTCACCAGTGGGTAGAATGGACTATCACCTGTAGGTACAATGGACTGTCATGGTGAGAACATTGGACTGTCATCTGTGGGTTGACTGGACTATCACCTGTAGGTAAATTGGACTGTCATGGTGAGAACATTGGACTGTCACCTGTGGGTAGAATGGACTATCACCTGTAGGTACATTAGACTGTCATGGTGAGAACATTGGACTGTCACCTGTGGGTAGAATGGACTATCACCTGCAGGTACATTAGACTGTCATGTTGAGAACATTGGACTGTCACCAGTGGGTAGAATGGACTATCACCTGTAGGTACATTAGACTGTCATGGTGAGAACATTGGACTGTCACCTGTGGGTAGAATGGACTATCACCTGTAGGTACGTTGGACTGACATTAAGGGTAGAATACACTATCACACTGTCATGACGGGTACACTGGAATATCACCTTTAGGTACAATGCATATTCACTGTGGGTACAGTCACTGCCATTGTCTTACAATAATTCCATGAAACAACTTCTGAGGTGAATTCAAGGAAATGAAGTAAGTTATTATATACTACATTGAATGGGACTTCATTCAGCAGAGTTCACTCTTATAAGGTTACTATAAATCAACTTTTGTCTTAGTGAATTGATGTCATTATTTATCACTTTATTGTAACAGATTGTCTCATGTCAACTTGAAAGTGGGTCAACTCATGCAAACAGTCACATGATGGATTTTATCGGCATCAATTACTACAGCATTATACTTTTGATTATATTTTTTTGGTATAGCTATGAAATTGATGACATTGATATTGTTGGATTTTAAATGATTTTTCTGTGTCCATCCATCACAATGTGACCATGGTGTAGAGTTTGCAGGACGAAACCACATGGCCTGGGATTTTCCTTTAGGAGGATCAGCTGGCTCCTAAACAGCAAATCACCTGCCTCCATTCACCTGGACAACCCCAAGGGAACAGCAGGTTTGACTGCTACAGCTTGGCACAGGTAGCATTGCAGGAGTTGTCAGAATTTATATTGTATCAATGTCATACCACTTACGGGACTCCATCTCCGGGTATGAATTCAGAGTTTTCCTTCTCTTAGATGAGCTGCCATCCAAGGTTGATGAGTCCCATCCACTCGGGGTGCTGGTGATGACTAGACTTCTGCCGGGGATCGAACTCCAGCCCTGCAAGCTTGACATTGACTCACTTGAGACTAGAGACCGACCGAAAGTGATTTTCTGATTTTGGCCGAAACCTTAAATAGGTCGAAAGTTAAAAATGACTTTCGGCGGAAACCGAAACTAGGCCAAAAGTTAAAAAATTGACTTTCGGCCGAAACTGAAGCCGAAAGCTTAAAGAGACTTTCGGCCGAAACTGAAATATTTAGATATTTTGAAATTAGTTCACGCATACATTCTGAGCCTTGTTCACTTTCAAAATTTTCTTCTTCATATGCCTTTTTACCCAGTCTGGGGCATAGGCCATCCACAAGAATTCTCCATTCATCATGGTCCTGTGCCTTCCTTTTCAGTTGTTTCCAGGTGTATCCAATATTTTGTGTTTCTGCTTCTTGCTCGCGTCTCCATGTATTCTTTGGCCTTCCTCTCTTTCTTTTTACCTGTGGATTCCATGTTAGGAATTGTCTGGTGGTGCTATCTGGGGGTTTCCAGAGAGTATGTCCTATCCATCTCCATCTTTTCTTTAAGATGTCTTTGTCAATTTGCACCTGGTGAGTCATTTCTAGTAGATCTTTTTTGGTGATAATACTTGGCAATTTGATTTTCAGGATCTTTCTAAGGCATGTGTTTATGAAGGTTTGTACTTTCTGCATAATGCTCGCCGTTGTTTTCCAAGTTTCTGATACATACAGTAGGAATGTCTTTCAAAATAGGGTTTGTCAAAAAGGCCTTTACTACTATAAAAAGTCAAAATTCATTCTACCTACAATAGCTTCTTTCTTCACATCAATAACTCATAAATATGTCCTGCTCCTGCCTACTGCTTGACACGTTTAGCATTTAAAGCCTTCATGGAGAAGGTTGGGGTGGTTGTTCCTGTACTAAGTGATCCCAAATGGCTCATGGAATTTGCTTTTCTCGTTGAAATTACACAGGAGCTGTATGTAATCAACAAGAAGTTACAAGACCATGGGTAGCTTGTCAGTGTTGCTTTTGTCAGGGCACTCTGCACAAAACTTGTGATATGGTTCTTAGAGAAACCTCTGCCATTTCCCAACATCCAAAGTACTCATTGGCTCGGGCACACCATTCAGTTGTAACTTAGTAGTAAGTATACTGATGCCATTGCAAAGCTACAGAAATAATTTATCACATTTTTTAGACTTCAAAACACAGACAGGCACTTTTCAGCTTTTTGCTGACCCTTTCTCCTTTAAAATTTAATGTGCAAAATACCCCGCGCATGGAGGTGAATGTAAAAACAGACAAGCATGGACATTTTAGTTCACTGCCCTCTACCTTCCCTGAGATTTCAAGGTTGTTCAAGTGGATCATTTGACTTTTTGGGAGTACCTATCTGTGTGAAAAACTCTTTTCCACTATGCACTTTAACAAACAGGGCCAAACTTACTGATGAATATCTTCAAGCTATACTGAAGGTCTCATTTGCTTCCTCACTCAAGCCAAAGTTGCTCAGCTGTGTAAAAAGATTTGCTGTCAGGTCTCTGGCAACAATAAGTAGGTGAAAGAAAGTGGAGCCTAGTTCTTGAGAACCCTTAATGTTTTTATTTGTTATTTATAAAGGTTGAGCAGATTGTAACAGTTTTACTTTAATGAATTTTTAATCGCTTTTCGTATGGAATACTTGATACGGCCCAGTCTCAATCAGAGTCTACCTCCTGCAGCCCCCGGATGATTTGAGTTTGAGACCCCTGATCTAATTAATTCTTTGGTTTTTAACATTTTAAATTAAAGTACAGGTAATTTAAATTTCTTTAAAATGTTTTTTTAAATTATTACGATAGGAGAATATTTGGAAAAAAGGGGGGGGGGGGGATTAATGAAAAATAAACACTTGAGTGCCTTTGCTTTTATAATATAATTACAACCTAAAACAATAATTTTTGTGGGTCTAATAGAGCCTATTGCCACCTAAATATATGTCATTAAGGCTATAAAATTATCCCCACAATGTTTCGCTGTTTTCATCATACTAATACTAAAGTAGCATGGATAAAAACTCTATATAAATATTCAATTCAATTCAATGCTTTGTGTTTTCATAAATAGCTTGCAAGATATCACTGGATTAATATTTAGCCTAGTAAAACACACTAGTCTTTCTGTGCTGGTGACATAATTATTTCATTCGGCACCCAATCTCCCTCACCCGCTTGGTGGGGGAATTTTTTTAAACTTCTCTTAAAATTGTTGTTCTGACAGGTCTCGACGGAGAATCGCAAAAGACGTAAATTGTCATCAAAATCATATAAGTAAACAGGTCTTTAGTAGGCCTACCACATAATTATAATACGAACCCGTGATACATGCACACTTATGTTATTTCGTCCATAACAATGTTTATGGGCATGATAATGATGAATTTCAAGAAATGACTGGTTTTAAAAGGCCTGCTTTTAAGAAAATTATTTTTAATAATTTTTTTTTTTTTTAAATAAATGAAACTTTACCATTCCCAAGGATTATTCAATATTATTCACCTTTGCCTATGACAACATTGATGAGCATGATAATGATAAATTATAAAAAATATCACAAATGATGGAATTGATATAAACCTAGGGTTCCAAATTTTATTTTTGAAAAAAAAAATGAAACCAAAAATAATGATATGAATATTGCCATTCCATTCGTTTTTCTTCCACAAAACTGTTTACATTTGTCTAGGCCAGTGGTTCTTAACCTTTTTGGAGGTACCAAACCCCACCAGTTTCATATGCGCATTCACCGAACCCTTCTTAATAGGAAAAATAAAATATGATTTTTTTTTCTGATTTTTTGTTGGATCTTCGCCGAACCCCTGAGAATGACTCACCGAACTCCTGGGGTTCGATTGAACCCAGGTTAATAACCACTGGTAAAGGCCTATCTGAAATGTAATTTTTTTGGAAATATAGGACCAGTAGGTCATCATGCAGCTGTGGACAGCTTTTGCTGAGTATTAGTCATATAACAATTAATTACATACAATGACAGCAATATGTCGAGCACTAATGAATATCATATTGTCGGCCTAGAGACATACAGACAGTCTGACTTCTGATAGATGACCGAAAACCTTAGTCACTTTCGGCCGAATGGCCGAAAGTCTCATTCAATTTCAGCCGAAACCAAAAGTTAACTTTTCTCTTTCGGCCGAAACAGAAATTGAGCCGAAAGTTAAATTTTCAGTTTCACCCAAAACAGGGCCGAAAGTGATCTAATGGCCACTTTCAGCGCCAAAGCCGAAATTCGGTCAGTTTGTACTTGAGACCACGCAGCCATCCAGGATTAAGCTATTATGATAGGACCATAAATAAACCACCAAACAACAACTGCTGCAATGCTGGGGACTTACTATCTACTTAAGTTGATTAACACAACTTGCATTCAAATAACGCACTTTATAAGACTCCTAATTAGTGCTGACCTCTGGGGATTTTATTTTGCACGCCATTGAACGGCAGTTTTACACAAAGACACCATACTTAAATACCTACAGAATTATTATTTGTGATTATGTAATTGATTACTTCATAATTGTTATCTTTGTGACTTGCATTTTGTTTGAATTTGCATAAAGGACAGTGTGTTACATCTTCATATACAAGAGAAGGATGACCCAGTCAAGCCAGCTAGTGACCCAGCCAGTGACCCAGCCAAGCTAGGCGGAGTCATACAATCGGAATGTGTTTACCTGCCAGTCCCAAAGACTTTAGGTAGAGATATCACAGAAACTAGATCAAAACTGAGAGAATTTATCCTAACACACGAGGCTGACATTGACAGATTGGACCAGCTCATTCTTGACAAGGTTAGGAGGATAAAATCTCTGCTACTCAAAGTGTGGTCTAAGATTGGAATGTATGGTTTAGTGCTACCTCAAAATGTGGTCTAAGATTGGAATGTATAGATTAGTGCTACCTAAAAGGGTGGTCTAAGATTGGAATGTATAGATTAGTGCTACCTCAAAGTGTGGTTTAAGCAGTGGGATGCATACCTTAGTGCTCTTCAAAGTGTGTTTCACCAATGGGATGTATAGATTAGTGCTACCTTATATTGGGATGTATAGATTAGAGCTACCTTAAACAGTGGGATGTATAGATTAGTGCTACCTTAAAAACTGAAATATATAGATTAGTACTACCTCAAAGTATGGTTTAAGCAGGAGGTTGTATAGATTATTGCTGCCCCTTAAAGTATTTTTTGACACCTTGTGAGCGTATAAAAAAAGGGCTACCACGGTATATACAACTATTTATACCCAAAACTTGATTACCGGTACCTTAAAATCGTAACAATGAAGCAACCTTACTCCAAATAACCAAATATGCTTCAGACATTTCAAAACTAATTTAGCTTTTTAGTTTTCTTGCTGTTGAGTTCAGCGTCCATGATGGTCATTGACGTTTCAGAAAGTATCTCGAGTGGAAGTAGATGTACTGACCAGACAAATAGATGGAGAGCTTGCCTCACTTGCAACTAGACTGGACCAGTGTGGCAGAGGACGGCTAATGGATCAAGAACATCCATCTGACAATAGTTTTGTCTGTCAAAGGGAGCTGCCCATCTCCTTACCCGTCATAGACGGCCGGCAAAGAACAAGATCGAAATTCGTTGCACACTCTGACAAGGGTGTGAAAGCCTCTAAACAGGCCAGCTTAAATGAAGCGGTGAGTTTGTCGTAATGTCATCACATGTTATACTCTCTCTGGTCATTCAGTCTCTCATTCCCCATACCATATCTGAGGTTTACAGTCCTGTCCTGTCAATGAGTTGGGTTCCCAGTTAACAGCTGTCACTATATGGCTATCACTGTGCTGCTAATCTACTGTCCTGTCCTGGCAATGAGCTGGCTTCCCAGTAACCAGCTGTCACTATATGGCTATCACCGTGCTGCTAATCTTTTCAACAGAATTTGATCACATTCTCAATAAATCATCTCAAGAGTGCAGGTCTTTGTAAGCCAGTATGATTGATTACCTTCTCAATAAATCATCTCAGAGTGCAGGTCTTTGTAAGCCAGTATGATTGATTACCTTCTCAATAAATCATCTCAGAGTGCAGGTCATTGTAAGCCAGTATGATTGATTACCTTCTCAATAAATCATCTCAGAGTGCAGGTCATTGTAAGCCATTATGATTGATCAGCTTCTCAATAAATCATCTCAGAGTGCAGGTCATTGTAAGCCAGTATGATTGATCAGCTTCTCAATAAATCATCTCAGAGTGCAGGTCATTGTAAGCCAGTATGATTGATCACCTTCTCAATAAATCATCTCAGAGTGCAGGTCATTGTAAGCCATTATGATTGATCAGCTTCTCAATAAATCATCTCAGAGTGCAGGTCATTGTAAGCCAGTATGATTGAACACCTTCTCAATAAATCATCTCAGAGTGCAGGTCATTGTAAGCCAGTATGATCGATCAGCTTCTCAATAAATCATCTCAGAGTGCAGGTCATTGTAAGCCAGTATGATTGATCACCTTCTCAATAAATCATCTCAGAGTGCAGGTCATTGTAAGCCAGTATGATTGATCAGCTTCTCAATAAATCATCTCAGAGTGCAGGTCATTGTAAGCCAGTATGATTGAACACCTTCTCAATAAATCATCTCAGAGTGCAGGTCATTGTAAGCCAGTATGATTGATCAGCTTCTCAATAAATCATCTCAGAGTGCAGGTCATTGTAAGCCAGTATGATTGAACACCTTCTCAATAAATCATATCAGAGTGCAGGTCATTGTAAGCCAGTATGATTGATCAGCTTCTCAATAAATCATCTCAGTGTGCAGGTCATTGTAAGCCAGTATGTTACCTACCATCTTAAGGTTTAACAAATTTGATCTGTAGTTTTAATATTAGGTCTTGGTACATGAAAAATGCATAACAAAGGACTGAAAACCAGTATATAAAGAAAAACAGTACTAAAGCTAGTGACATCAACAATAATCAATTTTATTATGCTGTTAAGGTGATATAAAAAATACAAAAAACAATTTACAGAAATAAAAACTGTTTGAACTTACAGCAAGTGTAAAAGTGTAATGCTAGAAAGGTACGAATATTAATCTACACAGACATACACACACAGTGAAAAATGTAAAAAGTTTTGTAGGTCTCCTGTACGACTGGTAAGTCTCGTAAAATTTCTGCTGGTCAGAGTCAGCTGTCGTAGAAATTCATTTGAAAGAGAATATTTCTCCCCCTATGTGTGTGATGTAGACCCTTCTGGAAATGTAAACAACTTTTCAAATCACCGGGGTGGTTGGGGGAAAGGACTGCCTACATCCAATTCGTGTCGATAACAAAACTGTCTACATCCACAATACGTCAACAGGTTCAGGTAGAGATTCTCGCCATGGGAGAGAAAGTCAGACGACTTGAGGAAGATTTAAAACAACTTCAAATTAGAAACATGCACAAATTACAGGAAATTCTTGATGGGGATCCCAGTGTTATCTGTATACAACCAAGATGTTTTAAAAAATTGTTGGGGAGCTAAAGAAGAAACCCAAGTCGTCAGCAGATTCACTAACCTTTACCCAAGGCATCGGCAGATTCACTAGCCCTAACCCAAGTCATCACCAAATTCACTAACCCAAGCCATTGGCAGATTCACTAACCCTAAAACAAGTCATTGCCAGATTCACTAACCCTAACCCAAGCCATTGGCAGATTCACTAACCATATACCAAGTCATCGGCAGATTCACTAACCCTAACCTAAGTCATCGCCAGATTCACTTACCCTAACCCAAGTCATTGGCAGATTCACTAACCCTAAACCAAGTCATCGCCAGATTCACTAACCCTAACCCAAGTCATTGGCAGATTCACTAACCCTAACACAAGCCATTGGCAGATTCACTAACCCTAAACCAAGACATTGGCAGATTCACTAACCCTAAACCAAGCCATTGGCAGATTCACTAACCCTAAACCAAGACATTGGCAGATTCACTAACCCTAAACCAAGTCAGCGGCAGATTCACTAACCCTAAACCAAGTCGTCGGCAGATTCACTAACCATCCCTTTCCTGGATCCAAAGCTTTGTGCTATTCAATGTTTTAGATTAATATATCTCCTACATATGTCTGTATGTTAGATCAATATTTTGTCCTATGTAATTTCATCTATTTTAGATGAATATTTTGTCCTATGTATTATTTGTATGTTAGATCAATATTTTGTCCTATTTATTTTTTTGTATTTTAGATCAATATTTTGTCCTATGTATTATTTGAATGTTAGATCAATTTTTTAATTTTGTCCTATGTATTATTTGAATGTTAGATCAATGTTTTGTCCTATGTATTTTTTCAATGCGAGATCATTATTTTGTCGTTTGTATTTTGTATGTGCTAGATCAATATTTTTTTGTGTGTTAGATCAATATTTTGTCCTATATATTATTTGTATGTTATATCAATATTTGGTGTATTTATTTTGTGAGTGTTTTAGATCAATATTTTCTCATATGTATTATTTGAATATTAGATCAATATTTTGTCCTATGTATTTTTGTATGTTAGATAAATATTTTATTCTAAAATATTCTGTACTGAGTATGATTGCGGTTTCAATATTTGATACCCGTTATTTTGATGTCTTCCATATGTTCAGATATTATCTAGCGCTAAGCCATTAAATGTCTGGAATGTTCCACAATTATAAAAGCTTGCTGAGCCTTGTGAATTTATAGTCTTATTTCTGAGGGGGGTAGTCTCCACTGTGATGGAGGTTGTCTCGGTTGTGAGGGGGCGGGAGGGGGGGGTTGTCTCGGTTGTGAGGGGGCGGGTGGTTGTCTCGGTTGTGAGGAAGGTTGTCTGATGACAGTATTAGCCCAAATTATACTTGAAGGGTGCATACCTCACACTATGCTGGGGGATCTGCTGACTAGGAAGCAGTTGATTCTGCGTGAAAACACCTGAACAAGGCTCAGTCATGTTTTCACTAAATTGATTTATCATTTATCCATCAAATTAACAATAAGTCTCTCACTCTAAGAGGGGGGCAAGTGCTGAAAAGCATTAATTTTGAAAAATTGTGCAGGTACTAGCATATGTAGGATGACATTGTACAGGTAATATCAAATCTGTGGCAAAAATTATGCAGGCACTAGCATATCTAGGCAAAAATTGTGCAGGTACTTGCATATCTAGGCAAAAATTGTGCAGGTACTAGCATATATAGGCAAAAGCTGTGCAGGTATTGGTATATCTAGGAAAAAGCTGTACAGTTACTAGCATTACTAGGCAAAAATTGTGCCGTTACTAGCATATCTAGGCAAACATTGTGCAGTTACTAGCATATCTAGGAAAAAGTTGTGCATTCAACAGCCATTGTGATAAGGGAGTGGGTGAGACATATGAGATGCATCTATATTAAAGTATTTTTTTTTAAATTTAAGACGTGGTAGATATATATGTCAATAATATAAACATTTTTAAAAGGCATATTTACATGCTTTAAGAATTAACAAATAAGAATTCAATTTTTTTAAAATTACAAGCAGATTGAAGGTCTAGTGTTTAGTTAAGTTAAATGATGTAATTTTGCATGTGTTCTTTTAAATGAAACAGATGTCAGATGAGTTAATCTGGACTTTAGATTGTCAACTTATGGAAATGCAACGACAGGAAACATCTCCTTCAAATACATGAGTGTTGTAATGTACTTCACAATTAAGTTCCCACATAATGTAGGGCCTCGGGATACCCCGTGATACAGGGCATCAGCATACGGCAGTTTAGGGCATCATCATACCATAGTGTTGGGCATCATCATACCACAGTGAAGGGCATCGTCATACCACAGTGTAGTGCATGTCACAGTGTAGGACGGACACCAGATCAGACTGTGTGGCACACCAGAGTGTTGTGGGACACCCCTATGTAGGGTACATCACAGTGTAGGGCGAACCAGTTTATGGCCATATCACAGTCTACGGCACACCCCGGTGTAAGGAACATCACAGTGTAAGGGCATATCAGTGTAGGGCACATCACAGTGTAAGGAACATCACAGTGTGAGGGCATATCAGTGTAGGGTACATCACAGTGTTAGGAACATCACAGTGTAAGGAACATCACAGTGTAAGGGCATATCAGTGTAGGGCACATCACAGTGTACGGCACATCACGCTGTAAAGGCATATGAGAATGTAGGGCACATCACAGTGTCAGGAACATCACAGTGTGCAGCACATCACAGTGGAGGACAGAGCGCGACCAAACCTGCTAAGGGATATGCCCACTTATATAAAGCGCAGCACTCCAGAGTTATCTGCCACCATTGTGTTTTTTCGTGTTTTTATTTTTGTTCAAATGGGGAATTGTACTGCAGACAACCTCGGTAAGAATCAACAACATAAAGATAATATCGTCCGTTAGATCTGTCCTTGACCTCGGCGTCAAGCCTAATGAATAAATTATTCAACCAGTGAACTTTCAATATAAAATGATACAAGCCTTTAGCCGATATCAACCCCGTCTGTCACTGGGTCTACTACACACGCAGTGACCTGACCTTGTTATAAGAGATTTGTTGGGTCATGAATTCGGCAGATTAAAAAAAAAAATGTCTTCGTTTACAAATATCACTTACGCCATTCCCATCAAACCTCATGGACTAGGGGGAGACTACATCAACAGGTTAGTAACCCTTTGTTGATATAGTTACCGTGTGATTTTTACCTTTTTAAAAAAAAAATTAAAAAATGTAACTCCATTTAAAAAAAATTAAAAAATTGTTTGAATCCAATCACCAAGGAAATGATCACTGGTAGAACCCTGATGTAAATGATGAGTTTCCTTCGTAACGAGTTCTCACGTACAATACTTGATTGTCACTTCAAGTTCAAGAAGCCCTGTTCTCTGAATACAGTCTAAATGTACGGGTGCAATTTCAGTTTAAAATGCAGTTGATAAAGTATAGCTAAAGGGTTGAAATCGGCACCTGGAACTCGGCCTAGACGAGGTTTTTTTTTACGTCAGGAATCATGTTAGAAGTTCAGTGACGTTGTCCCATTCAGGAATGTCCCTGACTACTAACATTCAGAATATATCACTAACCACTAACATTCGGAATATATCACTGACCACTAACATTTAGAATATATACCTGACTAACATTCAGAATATATCACTAACTACTAACATTCAGAATATATCACTGACTACTAACATTTAGCAGAGCCGTTTTTAGGAGTTTGGCGCCCTAAGCATGGAGCGTAGGTTGGGGGCCCCGCAAGGGGGGGGGGGTCCGGGGGTAGAGCTCCCTCGAGCTGAGAAGAAAACACCACCCACCACTGCGGCACCTCCACTCTGCCTTCATCAATGTTTCCTCTTTCCCATTCCCACAGCCAAGCCCCCGATTTCCTGTCTGCCACCCCCAAAGCTCCCCCCCTGCTGCTTCCCTTCCCCTGCCTCCGAATTCAACTCAAGAATTATAAATTTCAAGATGAGGAATGTAACGTGAGTGACACAGACGGCTGCAGTGCCAGTTGAAAAAAAAACCCTGGGGAGCGAAACCGAGTTATGACGATATTGGTCCCTTAAACATTGTTATGACGATATTGGTCCTGTAAAATTTGTTATAACGAAGTGGGGCCCGTAAGCATTGTTATGACGATATTGGTCCCGTAAGCATTGTTATGACGATATTGGTCCCGTAAACATTGTTATGACGATATTGGTCCCGTAAACATTGTTATGATTGTTATAACCATATTGGTCCCGTAAACATTGTTATGACGATATTGGACCTGTAAACATTGCTATGACCATATTGGTCCCGTAAACATTGTTAAGACAATATTGGTCCCGTAAACATTGCTATGACCATATTGGTCCCGTAAACATTGTTATGACCATATTGGTCCCGTAAACATTGATATGACCATATTGGTCCCGTAAACATTGTTATGACCATATTGGTCCCGTAAACATTGTTATGACCATATTGGTCCCGTAAACATTGTTATGACCATATTGGTCCCGTAAACATTGTTATGACCATATTGGTCCCGTAAACATTGTTATGACCATATTGGTCCCGTAAACATTGCTATGACCATATTGGTCCCGTACAAAATGTGAGCGCACATTTGTTATCCAATATTTAACTAATGTACTGTAACGTAACTAAAATTCTACGCATAAAGACAATGAAGCCATAAGATTCTATTACGCAATATGCTTTTATTTATTTAACAGGCCGAACTCATAACGCCCAGGCTAAGTGTTCCACATCTAACCTTCCCCCCCCCAACCCCACACCCCTTCCCTGTGAGATGATAAAAGTAGTATACTTGAATTTACAATCAGTAATTTTCTCATAGTTGCAACAATAAAAAAAAAGTGCAGACTGCGCTTGGCAGGACATATCTTCTTCTTTTTCTATATCTTAAGGGCCCACGATCAATTTATTGATCATTTTGGCTCCTATGCATGTAGATGGGATTTGCAATGTTTCTGTTACTGGTGGTGATGAGGAAATCATGCACTAGGGGTTTGAAGGCTGG